GTAGTTTCTACAGGGTAGTGTGTGTACAAGTGGTGGTACATTCTAAGGAATCGGTATCTGTCATAATTGTTTTTTTCACACAAGTGGTGCCAGTGATAGTGGTTTCTGCAATAGTGGTGCCAAGTGGCAGTTTGAGACGTTGTGCTATTAACAGCAGATGTTATGCCAGGCATAGATACAACTGAGGTTGATGTTTCAGCAGTTCTCATTTCAAATGTGGATGTTTCCAATACTAATCCCGTTGAACTAACTGGTGTAGTTTTAACAGAAGTGGTGCCAAGGGAAATACTTTCTACAGAAGTGGTGCCCAGAGTAGTAGTTTCTTCAGGAGTTGTGCCAAGGGTAGTAGTTTCTGCAGGAGTTGTGCCAAGGGTAGTAGTTTCTGTAGAAGTGGTGCCAAGGGTAGTAGTTTTTGCAGGAGTTGTGCCAAGGGTAGTAGTTTCTACAGAAGTGGTTCCCAGGGTAGTAGTTTCTACAGGGTAGTGTGTGTACAAGTGGTGGTACATTCTAAGGAATCGGTATCGGTCATAGTTGTTTTTTTCACATAAGTGGTGCCAATGATAGTGGTTTCTGCAGTGGTGGTGCCAAGTGGCAGTTTGAAACGTCGTGCTTCCACCAGCAGATGCTATGCCAGGTGTAGATACAACTGAGGTTGTTGTTTCAGCAGTTCTCATTTCAAATGTGGATGTTTCCAATACTACTTGCGTTGAACTAGCTGAATGTGTAGTTTCAACAGAAGCAGTGCCAAGTGTAGTAGTTTTTTCAGAAGTGGTGACGGGGGTAGTGCTTTCTACAGAAGTGGTTCCCAGGGTAGTAGTTTCTACAGAAGTAGTTTCTACAGGGTAGTGTGTGTACAAGTGGTGGTACATTCTAAGGAATCGGTATCTGTCATAGTTATTTTTTTCACATAAGTGGTGCCAATGATAGTGGTTTCTGCAGTGGTGGTGCCAAGTGGCAGTTTGAGACGTTGTGCTTCCAACGGCAGATGCTATGCCAGGTGTAGATACAACTGAGGTTGTTGTTTCAGCAGTTCTCATTTCAAATGTGGCCGTTTCCAATACCACTTGTGTTGAACTAACTGAAGGTGTAGTTTCAACAGAAGCAGTGCCCAGCGTAGTAGTTTCTTCAGGAGTTGTGCCAAGGGTAGTAGTTTTTGCAGGAGTTGTGCGAAGGGTAGTAGTTTCTACAGAAGTGGTTCCCAGGGTAGTAGTTTCTACAGAAGTAGTTTCTACAGGGTAGTGTGTGTACAAGTGGTGGTACATTCTAAGGAATCGGTATCTGTCATAGTTATTTTTTTCACATAAGTGGTGCCAATGATAGTGGTTTCTGCAGTGGTGGTGCCAAGTGGCAGTTTGAAACGTCGTGCTTCCACCAGCAGATGCTATGCCAGGTGTAGATACAACTGAGGTTGTTGTTTCAGCAGTTCTCAATTCAAATGTGGACGTTTCCAATACTAATCCCGTTGAACTATCTGAAGGTGTAGTTTTAACAGAAGTGGTGCCAAGGGAAATATTTTCTACAGAAGTGGTGCCCAGAGTAGTAGTTTCTTCAGGAGTTGTGCCAAGGGTAGTAGTTTCTGCAGGAGTTGTGCCAAGGGTAGTAGTTTCTGTAGAAGTGGTGCCAAGGGGAGTATGCCAGGTGTAGATACAACTGAGGTTGTTGTTTCAGCAGTTCTCATTTCAAATGTGGATGTTTCCAATACTAATCCCGTTGAACTAACTGGTGTAGTTTTAACAGAAGTGGTGCCAAAGGAAGTACTTTCTACAGAAGTGGTGCCCAGATTAGTAGTTTCTTCAGGAGTTGTGCCAAGGGTAGTAGTTTCTGCAGGAGTTGTGCCAAGGGTAGTAGTTTCTGTAGAAGTGGTGCCAAGGGTAGTAGTTTTTGCAGGAGTTGTGCCAAGGGTAGTAGTTTCTACAGAAGTGGTTCCCAGGGTAGTAGTTTCTACAGAAGTAGTTTCTACAGGGTAGTGTGTGTACAAGTGGTGGTACATTCTAAGGAATCGGTATCTGTCATATGCCCAGATTAGTAGTTTCTTCAGGAGTTGTGCCAAGGGTAGTCGTTTCTGCAGGAGTTGTGCCAAGGGTAGTAGTTTCTGTAGAAGTGGTGCCCAGGGTAGTAGTTTCTACAGGGTAGTGTGTGTACAAGTGGTGGTACATTCTAAGGAATCGGTATCTGTCATAATTGTTTTTTTCACACAAGTGGTGCCAGTGATAGTGGTTTCTGCAATAGTGGTGCCAAGTGGCAGTTTGATACATTGTGCTATTAACAGCAGATGTTATGCCAGGCGTAGATACAACTGAGGTTGAGGTTTCAGCAGTTCTCATTTCAAATGTGGATGTTTCCAATACTACTTGCGTTGAACTAGCTGAATGTGTAGTTTCAACAGAAGCAGTGCCAAGTGTAGTAGTTTTTTCAGAAGTGGTGACGGGGGTAGTACTTTCTACAGAAGTGGTGCCCGGAGTAGTAGTTTCTGCAGGAGTTGTGCCAAAGGTAGTAGTTTCTGCAGGAGTTGTGCCAAAGGTAGTAGTTTCTGCAGGAGTTGTGCCAAGGATCGTAGGTTTTGCAGAAGTTGTGCCAAGTGTAGTAATTCCTACCATTGGCACCACTTCTGGAGAAGTTTCTGCAGCAGTGATGCCGAGGGTAGTAGATTGTGAAGAGATGCCCAGAGTAATAGGTTCTGCAGAAGTGGTGAAAAGGGTAGCAGTTTCGGCAGAAGTTGTGCCCAGGGTACTACTTTCTGCAGAACTGGTGCCAGTGGTAGTAGTTTCTGCAGAAGTTGTGCCCAGGGTAGTAGTTTCTGCAGAAGTGGTTTCCAAGGTAGAAGTTTCTACAGAAGTATTTTCCAAGATAGTAGTTTCTACAGAAGTAGTTTCAATGCTAGTAGTTTCTACAGAAAAATCTCCAAGGCTACTAGTTTAGAAGTGGTGCCCAGAGTAGTAGTTTCTACAGGGTAGTGTGTGTACAAGTGGTAGTACATTCTAAGGAATCGGTATCTGTCATAGTTGTTTTTTTCACACAAGTGGTGCAAATGATAGTGGTTTCTGCAGTGGTAGTGCCAAGTGGCAGTTTGAGACATTGTGCTTTCGACAGCAGATGTTATGCCAGGTGTAGTTTCGATTGAGGTTGTTGTTTCAGCAGTTGTCATCATATGTTTGGACGTTTCCAATAGTATTCCTGTTGAATTAACTGGGGACGTAGTTTTTTCAGAAGTGGCACCAATGGTAGTAATTTTAGCAGAAGTGGTGCCAATGGTAGTAGTTTCTGCAGAAGTTGTGACCAGGGTTGCAGTTTCGGCAGAAGTAGTGACCAGGATTGCAGTTTCGGCAGAAGTTGTGCCCAGGGAAGTAGTTTCTGCAAAAGTGGTGCCAAGGGTACTAGATTCTGCAGAAGTGGGTCCTGCAGAAGTGGTTTCCATGGTAGTTTCTACAGAAGCAGCGCCCGGGATCGTAATTTCTGCAGAAGTTGTGCCAAAGGTAGCAGTTTCTGCAGAATTGGTGCCCAGAGTCGTAGATTCTACAGAAGAGGTGCCCAGAGTATTCGTTTCTGCAAAAGTGGTGCCAAGGGTACTAGTTTTTGCAGAAGTGGGTCCTGCAGAAGTGGTTTCCAGGGTAGTAGTTTCTGCAGAACTTGTGCCAAGGGTTGTAGTTTCAGCAGTAGTGGGTCCTACAGAAGTGGTGCCAAGGATAGTAGATTCAGCAAAAGTTGTGCCCAGGATAGTAGATTCTACAGAAGTGGTGCCAAAGGTAGTAATTTCTGCAGAAGTGGTGCCCAGAGTGGTAGATTCAACAGATGTAGTGCCAAGAGTAGAAGTTTCTGCAAAACTGGGATCTGCAGAAGTGGTTTCAAGACCAGTAGTTTCTACAAAAGTGGTGCCAAAGGTAGTTTCTAAAGAAGTGGTGCCAAGGGTACTACTGTCTGCAGAAGTGGTGCCAAGGGTAGTAGCTTTTGCAGAAGTTGTGCCCAAGGTAGTAGTTTCTACAGATGTGGTACCAAAGATAGTAGTTTCTACAGAAAAGTTTCCAAGAGTACTAGTTTCTGCAGAAGTGGTGCCGAGGATTGTAGATTCTACAGTAGTAATGCCAAGCATAGTAGTTTCTGCAGAAGTGGTGCCAAGGGTAGAAGTTTCTGCAGAAGTGGTGAGCAGGGTAGTTTCTGCAGAACTGGGACGTGCAGAAGTGGTTTCAAGAGTAGTATTTTCTATAAAAGTGGTGCCAAAAGCAGTAGTTTCTGCAGAAATTTTGCCTAGGATAGTAGTTTCTGCAGAAGTGGTTTCCAAGGGAGTAGTCTCTGCAGAAGTGGTGCCCAGGGTTGTAGATTCTACAGTAGTAATGCCAAAGGTAGTAGTTTCTGCAGAAGTGGTGAGCAGGGTTGTTTCTGCAGAAGTGGGTCCTGCAAAAGTGGTTTCCAAGGTAGTAATTTCTACAGAAGTGGTACCAAGGGTATTAGTGTCTGCAGAAGTGGGCCCTGCAGAAGTTGCGGCAAGCATAGTAGTTTGTAAAGAAGTGGTTTCAAGGGTACTAGTTTCTGCAGAAGTTGTGCCCAGGGTAGTAGCTTCTACAGAAGGGGTTCCAAGGGTACTAGTTTCTGCAGAAGTGGTGAGCAGGGTAGTTTCTGCAGAATTGGGACCTGCAGAAGTGGTTTCAAGGGCAGTATTTTCTATAAAAGTGGTGCCAAAAGCAGTAGTTTCTACAGACATTTTGCCCAGTATAGTAGTTTCTGCAGAAGTGGTTTCCAAGGGAGTAGTCTCTGCAGAAGTGGTACCAAGGGTAGTAGTTTCTGCAGAAGTGGTGCCCAGTGTTGTAGATTCTACAGTAGTAATACCAAGGGTAGTAGTTTCTGCAGAAGTGGTGAGCAGGGTTGTTTCTGCAGAAGTGGGTCCTGCAAAAGTGGTTTCCAAGGTAGTAATTTCTACAGAAGTGGTACCAAGGGTATTAGTGTCTGCAGAAGTGGGCCCTGCAGAAGTTGCGGCAAGCATAGTAGTTTGTAAAGAAGTGGTTTCAAGGGTACTAGTTTCTGCAGAAGTTGTGCCCAGGGTAGTAGCTTCTACAGAAGGGGTTCCAAGGGTACTAGTTTCTGCAGAAGTGGTGAGCAGGGTAGTTTCTGCAGAATTGGGACCTGCAGAAGTGGTTTCAAGGGCAGTATTTTCTATAAAAGTGGTGCCAAAAGCAGTAGTTTCTACAGACATTTTGCCCAGTATAGTAGTTTCTGCAGAAGTGGTTTCCAAGGGAGTAGTCTCTGCAGAAGTGGTACCAAGGGTAGTAGTTTCTGCAGAAGTGGTGCCCAGTGTTGTAGATTCTACAGTAGTAATACCAAGGGTAGTAGTTTCTGCAGAAGTGGTGAGCAGGGTTGTTTCTGCAGAAGTGGGTCCTGCAAAAGTGGTTTCCAGGGTAGTAATTTCTGCAGAAGTGGTGCCAAGGGTACTAGTTTCTGCAGAAGAGGGTGCTGCAGAAGTGGTTTCCAGGGAAGTAGTTTCTGCAGAAGTGGTGCCCAGAGTGGTAGATTCTACAGAAGTGGTGCCAAAGGTACTAGTTTCTGCAGAAGTGGTGCCAAGGGTAATAGTTTCTGAGGAAGTGGGTCCTGCAGATGTGGTTTCCAAGGTAGTAGTTTTTACAGAAGTGGAACCAAGGGTAATAGATTCTGCAGATGTGGTTCCCAGTGTAGTACTTTCTACAGAAAAGGTGCCAAGGGTAGTAGCTTTTGCAGAAGTTGTGCCCAAGGTAGTAGTTTCTACAGATGTGGTACCAAAGATAGTAGTTTCTACAGAAAAGTTTCCAAGAGTACTAGTTTCTGCAGCCAAGAGTAGAAGTTTCTGCAAAACTGGGATCGGCAGAAGTGGTTTGAAGACCAGTAGTTTCTACAAAAGTAGTGCCAAAGGTAGTAGTTACTGCAGACGTTTTGCCCAGAGCAGAGGTTTCTCCAAAAGTGGGTCCTGCAGAAGTGGATTCCAGAGTAGTAGTTTCTACGGAAGTGGTTTGAAGGGTAGTAGCTTCTACAGAAAATGTTCCAAGGGAAGTAGTTTCTGCAGAAGTTGTGCCCAGAGTGGTAGATTCAAAAGAAGTGGTGCCAAGGTTAGTAGTTACTTCAGAAGTGAGTCTTGCAGCTGTGGTCTCCAGGGTAGTACTTTCTACAGAAGTGGTACCAAGGGTAGTAGTGTCTGCAGAAGTGGGCCCTGCAGAAGTTGCGGCAAGCGTAGTAGTTTGTAAAGAAGTGGTTTCAAGGGTATTAGTTTCTGCAGAAGTTATGCCCAGGGTAGTAGTTTCTACAGAAAAGGTTCCAAGGGCACTAGTTTCTGCAGAAGTGGTGCCCAGAGTGGTAAATTCAACAGATGTAGTGCCAAGGGTAGTAGTTTCTGCAGAACTGGGACCTGCAGAAGTGGTTTCAAGAGTAGTATTTTCTATAAAAGTGGTGCCAAAGGCAGTAGTTTCTGCAGACATTTTGCCAAGGATAGTAGTTTCTGCAGAAGTGGTACCAAGGGTAGTAGTTTCTGCAGAAGTGGGCCCTGCAGAAGTTGCGACAAGGGTAGTAGTTTGTAAATTAGTGGTTTCAAGGGTACTAGTTTCTGAAGAAGGTGTGCCCAGGGTAGTAGTTTCTGCAGAAATGAGTCGTACAGCTGTGGTTTCCAGGGTAGTAGTTTCTACAGAAGGTGTGCCAAGAGTACTAGTTTCTGCAGACTTTATGACCAGGGTAGTAGTTTCTACAGAAAATGTTACAAGGGTACTAGTTTCAGCAGAAGTGGTGCCCACGGTTGTAGATTCTACAGTAGTAGAGGCAAGGGTAGAAGCTTCTGCAGAAGTTGTACCCAGAGTAGTAATTTCTACAGAAGTGGTGCCGAGGGTAGTCGTTTCTACAGAAGTCATGCCAAGGGTAGTAGTTTCTGCAGAGGTTGTGCCCAGGGAAGTAGTTTCTGCAAAAGTGGTTTCAAGGGTACTAGTTTCTACAGAAGTGGTGCCATGGGTACTAGATTCTGCAGAAGTGGGTCCTGCAGAAGTGGTTTCCATGGTAGTTTCTACAGAAGAGGTGCCAACGGTAGTAGTTTCTGTAGAAGTGGTGCCAAGGGAAGTAGTTTCTGCAGAAGTGGGTCCTGCAGAAATAGTTTCAAAGGAAGTAGTTTCTACAGAAGTTCTGCCGAGGATAGTAGATTCTTCAGAAGTGGTGCAAAAGGTAGTAGTTCCTGCAGAAGTGGTGCCCAGGGTAGTAGTTTCTAAAGAAGTGGTTCCAATGCTAGTAGTTTCTACAGAAAAGTTTTCAAGGGTACTAGTTTCTGCAGAAGTGGTGCCGAGGGTTGTAGATTCTACAGTAATAATGCCAAGCGTAGTAGTTTCTGCAGAAATTGTGCCTAGAGTAGTAGTTTCTGCAGAAGTGGTGCCGAGGGTTGTAGATTCTACAGTAGTGGTTTCAATGCTAGTAGTTTCTACAGTAAGCAGGGTTGTTTCTGCAGAAGTGGGTCCTGGAAAAGTGGTTTCCAGGCTAGTAATTTCTGCAGAAGTGGTGCCAAGGGTACTAGTTGCTGCAGAAGCGGTTTCCAGGGAAGTAGTTTCTGCAGATGTGGTGCCCAGAGTGGTAGATTCTACAGGAGTGGTGCCAGAGGTACTAGTTTCTGCAGAAGTGGTGCCAAGGGTAGTAGTAGTCTCTGCAGAAGTGGTGCCAAGGGTATTGGTTTCTGCAGAAGTGGTGCGAAGGGTAGTAGTTTCTGCAGAAGTGCTGCCCAGAGTGGTAGATTCAACAGATGTAGTGCCAAGAGTAGAAGTTTCTGCAAAACTGGGATCAGCAGAACTGGTTTCAAGACCAGTAGTTTCTACAAAAGTGGTGCCAAAGGTAGTAGTTACTGCAGACGTTTTGCCCAGGGTAGAGGTTTCTCCAAACGTGGGTCCTGCAGAAGTGGATTCCAGAGTAGTAGTTTCTAAAGAAGTGGTTTCAAGGGTAGTTTCTACAGAAAAGGTTCCAAGAGTAGTAGTGTCTGCAGAAGTGGGCCCTGCAGAAGTTGCGACAAGGGTAGTAGTTTCTACAGAAAAGGTTCCAAGGGTACTAGTTTCTGCAGAAGTTTTACCCAGGGTAGCAGTTTCAGAAGTAGTTCCTACAAAAGTGATGCCAAGGGTAGTAGTTTCTGCAGAAGTTGTGCCCAGGGTAGTAGTTTCTACAGAAGGTGTGCCAAGCGTACTAGTTTCTGCAGACTTTACGCCCAGAGTAGTAATTTCTACAGAAGTGGTGCCAAGGGTAGTCGTTTCTACAGAAGAAATGCCAGAGGTACTAGTTTCTGCAGAAGTGGTGCCAAGTGTAGTATTTTTTGCAGAAGTGGTGGGAAGGGTAGTAGTTTCTGCAGAAGTGCTGCCCAGAGTGGTAGATTCCACAGATGTAGTGCCA